GAGGAGGAGGAGGAGGTGGAAGAGGAGGAGGAGGAGGAGGAGGAGGAGGAGGAGGAGGAGGAGGAGGAGGTGGAGGAGGAGGAGGAGGAGCAGGAGGAGGAGGAGGAGGAGGAGGCGGAGGAGGAGGTGGAGAAGGGAGGAGCAGGAGGTGGAGGAGGAGGAGGAGGTGGAGAAGGGAGGTGAGCAGACAACGTGGGAGACAAATTCGATTCGCGCCGCGACCGTGTCTCGCGTTCTCGTCGTTTCGTGAGCTTCGTTTCAGTAATTCGAGTTTTCATTAATTCGGTTATTTCATCAGGTTCGCGATTCAACTCATAATATTCATAACGGGCTTCTAATCTGTCAGTGTGTTCCGCTTAAACAAGAAGCACACACGTCCATCTGCTGCTGTTATTGCTGCTGCTGCTGCTGCTGCTGCTGCTGCTCCGCTGCTGTCGCCGTCACTCGGGCGTCAGCGGCAGAGACGCGACGAGTCGCAAAGCTCGGCCGCTGATTGAATTTCACGGGAATACGTATCAATGCACCTGGCAGGCGAGCGTCGCAAATCGAGACAGTTTTCCGCGTGGAATTGTCGCAAGCACGCACGCTCGCAAGCACGCACGCACGGGCGCACGCACGCACGCTCGTATTACACATGCACCGCACACGCGCACACTCGCGTACGCGCTCGCACACGGACGACACACACACATACGCACGCACGCACGCATGCATACACACATAGGCGCACGCACGCACGAATGCACGCACTCATCCGCGCACCAACACACACTCATCCACCTCGCTTCATTCACCGATTATATACGTAGTGAGGTATTGGCAACAGAGCGCGATTTCGCTGCGATTCTTTCCGCTTTTTTACCTCGCCTTTCTTCCCGAGCGACGGCAAAATATGCTGTACGTCTCCATCGTCAACGGCGGCGGCGGCGGCGGCGGCATCGGAGGGGTCGTCGACGTCATCGAAGTTATCGTAGATGACGCCAGCGTCGTCGTCGTCGTCGTCGTCGTCGTCGTCGTCGGGCGGAGCGAGAGAGAGAAGGTAGAGAGAGGGGGGTGGAGGACATGAGAAGAGAGAGAGAGAAGGGAGGGGGAGAGGAGAAAGAAAGAAGATGGATGGATGGATGGATGGATGGATGGATGGATGGATGGATGGATGGATGGATGGATGGATGGATGGATGGATGGATGGATGGATGGATGGAT